TTTTTTTAATGCATGTTTATGACAACTGTCATAAGTGTCATTAAGTGTCATTTGCTCAGTTATGTAATTTTTAATGCAAAGATGACATTGTTTGAGATGTCTTTGTTATGGGCTATGGTTAGGGGTAGGGGTAGGTTAGGGTTAGGTCAAATAATGTCATATTTGCATTAAAAATGACATTACTGAGCGAATGACACTTAATGACAGTTGTCATAAACATGCATAAAACCTCCTTCATATTCATGACATGTGTCATGTCATGATTATGTAGGTGTCATGTCATGATTATGAAGGTGTCATGTCAGTCTTATGCACACCCCTTCAAGTAAAGTGTTACCAAAACCCTACACCAAAATCATGCTATTGGTTGAGCAATGGATTCAGACCGACAGGGGAAAATAAGTCGAGTTCACATTTTTAAGAGCTTTAAGATCTTTTAAATTAAAAGAAGAGTTCCAACCTTATGGGCCCTAGTGAGCTGTACTGATCCCGGAGCACTCTGGCAGTGTGTTTTTCCTTTTCGGATCGCTGTCTGGAGCACAGACTGGCACGAAAGCTAGGAATGGATGGAAAAGTATAAAAATATGCTTTTATTGTTCAGTTCATTCACTGTCATGCCAATGAACACATGTAGTTAATTTTGATGAGCAGACGAACTGACTGAAACACCTGCATATGACAAAAATCCATTTAAACTACGCATGAGAACAATCGCATCTCTTGTCACGACGTCAGGTGTCCATGTTCTGTGAGTGATTCTTCATCAGGAAAAGAAGAAAATATCGACAAGGGTGAGATGAAGAACGCTGCTCGATAAAACAGGATTATACTAGAGCGATGAGAATGGGAGGCTGTGAGTGAGTGAGAGACAGAGCAGGATGAAGAAGATTGAGGACATGAAGAGGAAGCTGAAGTGGTGAGCGTGATTTGAAATTATGAATTTAAATGAAATCCAAAGACAAAGAGTAAAAATGAGGAACAGAGAGGGGTCAGGGAACGACTTATTGAATAGAAGACATCACGATCACTCACTTGGATCCAAGATACATCCAGTGCAGGTATATCCATGACAAAATCAGCATAATTATGCAGATGGGAAGACAAAGCACGAACCAGTTCCCAAAATTAATGACAGTGCAATCTGGGTAGTACCTGAGGAAATGTAACAAAAAGCACAGTTTAGATGGATAGACTGTCCAAACCATGTAATGCACTGTAAAACACTTCAGTTTGAAGACAAGTTGTAAACTCACTGATAGATGTATTCAGCAAAGATGAGGTTTGTGGATGTTCCTGATAATGTGGTCAGCCCCCCAATGGACGAGGAGTAAGCAATGCAAAGCGACAAGCCTTTGCACATCATGTGATCTTCACGGGTCCTGTACTTTCCATTATATGGTGGAGGTGCCTAACAAATATTGAGAAATCCCATTTTATCGGAAAGGCAAGGAGACGCATTTTGTGCATTTTAATGCACAAAATTTTTTTTTTTACTGACCTTAACAGTTTCTGGTTCCTCAGGAGCTGTCTGAACTGGCTCTGTAATTCCTGCTTCGATGCTGTAAATGCACACAAAATCTCACTCAGCCTTAAAAATCAATTGTTTTCAATCAGGTACCTTTTTGTTCATTTTATATATGTTCACCTTTTTATGTTCTCAGATTGGTCATGCTGGGCCTCAATATCTGAAAACAGATGTTTAATAATTAAATGCTGCACAGCTCTAAAAGGTTAAAGGTTGAAATGATTATTTATTGCTCATGTTAAATGAAAACTGCACCAGCTTACCTTCAAGCTGAAGAGCAGGGTTGGAGATGCCATTTAACGCCCCCTTGTGGTCTTTCCTGGCCTCTTCACTTGCATTCAAAACCTGCTGGATCACTGCCTCCACAATTGGCATTACCATAGCCACAGTTGAGGTGTTGCTCAGCCACATGGAGAGGAAAGCACAGCCAACCATGAACCCGAGCATCAACCTGTGAAATGAGCAAGCAGATTTAATTCGGTCCATCCTACTATGATTCATCACAACACATCAGAAATCTTAATAAAATAAAATCAGTCTTACATGCCAGGATTGACTCCAAGTCCAGTCACCAATCTGAGGGCAATTCTCCGATGAAGACCCCATTTCTCAATGGATGTTGCTAAACAGATGACACCAAGAAGCAACAAGTGGAAGTCTTTGAAATATACAGATGCAACCTAAAGAAAGACTGTCGGTCAGTAGCTATCCAACTTTAGAAGTCCCAAAATACTGTAGTAAGATTTCTAGATAGGATTGTTTTCCAAGAGTAAAATGACCAGTTCTGGAAAGTGTACCTGTGAGGACTTCATGATCCCAAAAATAGGGAAAAGCAGCGCGGGGAGAAGTGCCGTCACAGACAGAGGCAAGACCTCCGTCATCCAGTATACAGCCATTAATATTAGGATATATGCACATTCTGCTTCCTAGTGGAAATGATATCAGGGTTTGATATCCAGTAACACAAAAAGGACTGAAGAAACTGAAATCAGCATCTTTTTCATTTTTCTTGCAAAGAATGTCTTTGTCTTGGCCAAAAAATATGTCTATCGAAATGTATTTTTACAAAACAGTGAGAGCAAAAGACAAAATAATTGTTAAAGACATTTCAGTATTCATTAAAGTATTTCAGAAAATATACTGTACAATTGTTTTAGATACTCAAAGAAAAGACTTCATTACATTAGTTTTACTCTTTAACGAAAATACATTTTCACATTATTTTCATTCAGATCTCCACGTGTGTTTGTAGCATCTCTAACCTTTTTTCTGATGACTAGTGGCAGTGGTAGCAAAGCCAGCGGTGAGATGATGATGATTAGGGGTTTCAAGGAGCTCCAAGAACATCTAAGCCGCCTCATCCTGTGGCCGAAACGGAGTCAACTCTGGGACTTTGTCTTATGATGGCCTTTAAATAATGTGCCGCTGATTAATCTTTGCCCTGGTGCCATCCGCATCCACTGTTACTGGTCCATTCCAGGCATGTCATAAAGCCTTATGGCCATGGAGATTAAGCTTTAAGATTAGACTCCCACCAGTCATACCTCATGCAAGTCCCTTCTAACCTATTTATTTTTACATTTTATGACCAAAGTTAACAACAAATTTGCATACGAGGTTATAAAATCAAGAGCACATGAGACATTGCCACAGACAATGTCCTGGAATTCACACTTTTTTCTCCTAACAGTTTTTTCTCTCGCCGTTTCCCTTATTGGGCCCTAATCTGGCACCGCGCAGGGGTCTGTTAAACAACAACCTGGGAGACTTCATAAACACAAACTCTCAGAAATCACACAGCAGGCAATAATCCGTGCTGAAGCTTGTTTCCAAAGAATTAGATCAGAGAGAAATATTTATGGAAATATGAAAAAACTAAAACACTGAAATGAAAATAAATATGTAAACTATTATTTCAAGTTTTCACTGTAATGCTCCCAAGTTTGTATGGAAGTCCATTTTGGTATTGTATTTTTAATTTGTGACTTTATATCTTGCAACAGCAATTTTTTTTTCTTAATTGTGACCTAGGTGCACAAAACCAGTCATAAGCGTCAATTTATTTTTTTATTTTTTTTCCCCGAAATTTAGATTTATACAACATCTGAAAGCTGAATAAATAAGATTTCCATTGATGTATGGTTTGTTAGGATAGAACAATATTTGGCCGAGATACAACTATTAGAATATCTGGAATCTAAGTAATATATAAATAAAAAATTATATATATATATATATATATATATTGAGAAAATCGCCTTTAAAGCCATCCGAATGAAGTTCTTTGCAATGCATATTAAAAACTAATCAAAAATTAAGTTTTAATATATTTACGGTAGGAAATGTACAAAATATCTTCACGGAACATGATCTTTACTTAATATCCTAATGATTTTTGGCATAAAAGAAAAATAATCTTGACCCAAACAATGTCTTTTTGGCTATTGCTACAAATATACCCGTGCTACTTATGACTGATTTTGTGCTCCAGGGTCACAATTGCGAATATCTTGTAATTGCGACTCTTGAAATCACAACATCACATCACACAATTGTTATTTAATTCTAAACAATTCAGACTTTTTTGTGTGTGACTTTATTTCCTATAATTGCAAATTTAGTTCTTGTGTTCGTTACTTTACATTTCAAAATTGTGATTTTATCCCACAACTGCCATTTTTTCTCATAATTACGAATTTATATCTTGTAATTGCAACTCTCTTGTAATCACAGCTTCACAACTCACAATTGTTATTTAATTCCAAACACTTATTTTTTCTTTAAAATTGATTATTTCTCATAATCATGCCTTTGCATTTTATAATTGCAACTTTCCATCCCACAATTAAGACTTTATTTTTTGCAATGACAAATTCTTGTATTTCCTACTATACAAAAAAATTGTGACTACACTACACTACACTACAAAATGCAATTGCGAATTTATATCTCATAATTGTAACTGTATTGTAACTGTAACTTTACCTCACACAATTAATTTGAAACAATTCCAACTCTAATTGTGACTACACAGTATATATTAGACCTTACTTGTCACAAAACTGTTAATTTATTTCTTGTAATTTCTACTTTACATTTCAAACTTGTGACTTTATCCGGTAACTGCAACTTTATTTCTTACTATTGTTAATTTTCTTACTGTTTTTTTTTTTACTATTTCTTATTTTTATTTTTTATCTGTATCTTTTTTTTTTTTTTCCTGAGACAGAAAAGGCTTCCATAACTTTGTGAATCATAAAATGTGGCAATGGAAAATTTGTGAATCCAATGGAAAAAGTCACAAAGAGCTGGCCTATGACTGGCTGTAATGTTAAATCTGTCTGAAGGCGCTGAGGTTAGTTGATGCTGTTGAAGTTATATCTTCATGACCTCCCTTTAAAATGGTCATTTCACAGTCAGGATTACCAAGGATTTGAACTGCAGAATGGTGTTTCCTTGAAATATCATTGGATAACTTGGACAAAACACTCACTTCATCCCGTCTGCACTATTACACATTAATCGCAATCCTCAAGCTCCCTCAAGGAACAAACAGAACAGCTCTATCAGAGATTACATAAAACTCCACAAATTAGTTATCAATATGAGCATTATAAAACGTCAAAGCATTTTCCAGCGTCCAAAGATTACAAAAGATTGCACAATACTGGTGGGAACAATAATGGAGAAAATCTTGACTTACCTTTGACTTACTTTATTCAAACACAAACAGTTAGATCAAACAATAACCTTAAAAAAATGTTGCTCTCAGGGCCCACCAAGTTTTCCATAATACCTCCATTTCAGCAAACAGAAGTGCTTTCTTTGTTACCGATTTAAAGGATTACAGTAATAGCCATTACAGTTTTTAAAGATCCTGGAACCCACAAACACTTTTTCTTATTTAATTCTTAAAAAAATGCTGAAGTTCCTCTTATATTCAGCAAAAAGCATCTGCATCTCTACTACCATCAACACCTAATAAATTCACCACATAACTTGTTTTTCAAATGTCCTCCACCCTATTAGCTGCATTTTTGTTATCACGTTCAATCTATTTTTGAAGTTCAACTAAGTGTCATTAATGTTCCTTATGGGATCACAGAATGACCGTGATAGGGCCAGTGCCAAGGAACATGATGATAAGCCAAATCTCTTAATAAAAACCCATTTTATTAAGCACAGCATATAAACTTACCTAATGGAGTCCTGTGGTGCTGGTGGTTTCGTTCACATTTGTTCAAAAGGAGACACAGGAGGAGGTTCTTGACCTTTTCCTATAATTGCAGATCTTAGATTGCTCACCTCCTGATTAGATCTAGGCTATATATCATTTGCAAAGGTCTAATTAAAACCTCTTCAACTTGTGCTTTTCAGGCTTCCGAAGTGTTCCCGAAAATAACTTTGTAATACATTCTTGTACGGAGCAATCATGGAGGGATAATCTACTTTTTTGTCAGTCTAATCTCAATTATTTTATATAGCTTATTTTGTACTCAAGACTCATAATATGGTAATGCTGCATTTTTCACAGGATTGTAGTTATGCTGCTCTTTTTTACCAATTATTATTTTACAAAATACCAATGAAGAAATTAAAACTTCTTTCTCAATTACTGCCAAATAATAAGTAATTAGCATTAATGAATGATCCTAATGAATGGAAAGCAAAGCAGCGAGAAGCGAAAGACTTTTAATGATCAGGCCAAATTGCAAAGTGCAATGGAGTAGAGACAAAAAAACGGCCCCGCTACTCACGGTTTTAATTAACATATAAGATATTCAAATTCGATAAATTATCTTGAAGAAGAACTCTTAATAAGGTTTTAGATCTCTATACTTTACTGCCCACAAATAGTGAAGCTGCAGATGTCCCTGAGCGCCCCGCAGGATTGTGGGTTGCCTCTTAGCGATTCTACTTGGTTGCATTGGTGATGGGTTTGGAGACCAGCAGGTTGCTGAGGGCAGCAGGCTGAATCTCAGCGTCGTGCAGACATTCGGCCATCGCAGGAATCTGGGAGAAGTACTTCCTGGCCAATGCGTGTTTCTGCTTGACGTTACGGATGACTACCACATCGTATGCCTGCAAGTGAAAACAGCGGACATTTGTAGGGCGGAACGAATGGCGTTGCTCTCAAGTGGTGGGAGAGACAAATGTGTTCTGTAAATGCATTACATGTCTAGAAATGAGATTTGCCAGAGTTGATATTCATGATTTTGAAGTTCTGGTAGATGTAATCCTTTATATTTGTTGACTAAAGCCTGGTTATATATTACATTATTCTGCAAAAGTTTTTTATTTTGCCATTTTATTCTGTAGCTCTTAGTGCAATATTGCCTGAATATTTGAGGTTAATCATTTATTTCAGTGTAAAGAAAACCATTCATTCAAGAGCAGAAGTGGCTGCAGTACCTTCTCGATGTTCTCCAGTTTGAAATGTGCAGCCGCCTCGTCCTTTGTAAGTAGGATGCAGTTCCATGGGCTCCAGTTCAAATGCTTCTCCCACCGGACCAGCAGTAAATCATGAAGGTCTTTCCAGCCACTCAAAGCAGACTGAGCCCCCCACAGCACATCCACCAGATACCGCAGGTCCTGCTCCTAATGAGGACAGCGAATGTCTTGAACACAGCATGAACTTGGTGTACTACTCTTCTTAAAGGCGGACTATGTCATTTTATTCCCGCATTCTCCACCAAAAGAAATGAATTGCACATTTGACTGATATGTTTAAAATCATGTAGACTAGCATGAGATTGTACAGAGAACTGTAGTCTTTTCAGTAACTTAAAGTTTTTTCTTTTTCTTGTTTGTTACTGTTTTCATACATGTAAAAAAAGATGTAACTACAATATTGTTGTATTACTGTTATATCGTGTTACATCTCAATAAACAGATTGTTAAAAAAAAACCTTAGAAAAAGTTGTTTTATTCTACTTTACTGTGGTCCATCCTGATGGTGGCAGCCATGTTAAAATCACATGACCAATAGTGTCTTTGACAATTTAATAAACAGAGGCATAATACTTCCAAACTCATTAATCACTCACCCTCATGTTGTTCCAAACCCATAAGACCTTTGTTCATCTTTGGAATACAAATTCCATATTTTTGATGAAATCTGAAAGCTTTCATTCTGACCCTCCATAGACGGCAATGAAACTGACACGTTCAAGACCCAGAAAGGTAGTAAGGACCATTGTTAAAATAGTCCATGTGACATCAGTGGTTCAACCTTAATTTTATGAAGCTACGAGAATAATTTTTGTGTGCAAAGAAAAAACAACAACTTTATTCAACTATTTCTTCTCTTCCTGGCCAGTCTTCGATGCGCATTCACGAGAGTATCACAATGCATGGTTGAACCACTGATGTCACATGGACTATTTTAACGATGTCTTTACCATCTTCCTGGGCCTTGAAAGTG